CATTTTGACGAGACTCTTGTGGGTACCTACCCCACGGTACGAATCTGCATTTTGACGAGACTCTTGTGGGTACCTACCCCCACCTGGTACAGAATACTGCATTTTGACGAGACTCTTGTGGGTACTACTCCACCACAGTGCGAATACGCATTTTGACGAGACTCTTGTGGGTACCTACCCCCACCACGGTGCGAACCTTATTCTATAGGGTTCTTGAGATGTTCTCAAAAAAAATCCTTATCGGTTTTTGGAGGAGTGGCGGCGACTTCTTGTCTTTGATCATGCGCTTATTCCATGGGGAATATTTGATTTTTCTTTTCGACTTTTACGTCTTAGTCATCCAGCTTTGCCGGAGATTTTGTTTACGGCTATTTCTTTTAGCCATCCGGTCTGTCGGGGAGTTTTTGATTTACGGCTTTTCTTTTTAGCCAGTCCGGATACTTGGGCGGGGATTTTTGTTGATTGTCTCTCTTTTTTTTAGGCGAGGAATCCTCACGGGGATTTGGACTTTCTATTGATTGTGCCTCTTGAGTAGGCGGGAAATCCATTTTGGGAGATTTTGTTGACATACTCACCTAAGCCTTGCAGAACGGGGCTTACCAAAAACTTCATACCGGGTGGGGGTACATACTCACCTAAGCCTTGCAGAACGGGGCTTACCAAAAACTTCATACCGGGTGGGGGTAGGTACTCACCTAAGCCTTGCAGAACGGGGCTTACCAAAAACTTCATACCGGGTGGGGGTACGTACTCACCTAAGCCTTACGGAACGAGGCTTATAAAAAAAAAAAAAAAAAAAAAAAAAAAATCTTGCAGAATCGGGTTCATACCGGATGAGGGTAAGTACTCATCGAGTCTTATAAAAGGAGGCTCAAACCAGATAGGGGTTGGTACCTATCAAAATATTTATCATCCGGCGGATCAATAAGGAGCAGCATCCGAAGGGTAGCCGGGCAAAAGGGTTAACTCCTTCCCCTACCAACTAATTTTGTCGGCATATTAAAACCGACGAATTAGTTAGGCAGGCGAAGGGGGGGCAGCTGTAGACCCCTAATTTTGCCCGGCCTCTCAAAATAAAAGCTAGAGGAACTTCACCCGAAGATGGAGTTCATCCGGTCTCCCAAAACGAGAAGGACCTCCCACAAAAAAGACGGAGTTCACTCATTCACACAATAAAAGCCAAAAGAGACTTCCTACACAAAGACGAGCTCGCCTCGACATCTTAATGAAGGCCAAGAAGACTTCCTATACGAAGATAAAGCTTCAACGAGACACATATCGGCATCCACCGACGTCCAAAACAGGCAAGGAAAGCTTCCGGAGTCCCAAAACGCGCGAACCGGCCGAACAAGTCGAGACGGCCGTCCCAGGCTGGGACGGCCGTCCCAACCTGCTCCAACCAGTTGGGACGCGCGTCCGAAGTTGGGACGGCCGTCCCAAGCTCCGAGTTCAAGTGGGACGGCCGTCCGGGTTCCTGAGGGGTCCCGGCTGTGTAATTTTGCCATTTGGGACGGCCGTCCCGAGTCCGGATGGCCGTCCCATCCGAGACGGCCGTCCCAAAGTGCGCCAGCTTGCGAAAAACTATAAATAGGAGGCTCATTTGCCACTTTTTCACACCACGGACACTCCGAGAGCTACGAAACACTTTAGAGCACTTGTCTACTTCTCTTTCTCTCTCGAATGATCTTTCCGATTGCCTTAAATAGGTAACAATCGGTTAAGGAATTATATTCCGGCATTTGATTCTTCTTTAAATTTTTAGTAGAGTCGATCTTGTATTGGTGAGGAGAGACTGTGTAGAGAGAGGGGTTGCCAAAACGCATCCTCACGGTTCGAGGTTCTCAACATAAAGCTTGCTACGGAGGTTCTTTTCAATTCCCTTCTCTTTTATTATTTTATTTATTGTTTTATTGTTTTATTTAGCTTTATTATGTCATGTAGAATAGGATCATGTAGATAGCTATTTTAATATCTCTTTTATTGCTTTATTTAGCTTTATTCATCATTTTATACATGCAACATAGAATAAAATCATGTAGATAGCCATTTAATATTATGTAATAAAATAGGGTAATCGCGTAATTTCTCGTAGTCTTTATTTAAATGAATTAATCTGTCATAGGGAACCCGAAAGGGGCGTTGTGGGGTGCTAATACCTTCCCCACACGTAACTAACTCCCTTACCCAACTCTGGTTATAATGGCCAAGTGCGGTTTTTCTTAAAATCAACATTTTTTCCTTTTCCGATGTTTATGGTCAAAACATTGGTGGCGACTCCATAAGAACCCCTTTTCGAAAACCTTTTAAAACAAAAACGCGAGTCTAAACCATCTTTTCGCGACCACTCGCATAAACGTTTCTAAGACGTCCTCCTCCGGACGTCGGAAAGGGACGGCGGCGACAGGCATCAGGAAATAATTTGCCGTATATCTGATGTAGATGATAAAGTGTGCCATTTAGAAAATAGATTTGATGCACACTTTCATAGTGATGATAGTGA